TGTGTGCTAACACCCCTATAATGTGAGGTCATTTTCGTCACGCCCAAAGGAAGCTGGATTCCCATTAGCAGTCATTCCCCTGAGCCACATTGGCCAGGGCCCATTTATATATGATAGTGATCAATGCAGACGCACAAAAAATATAAAAAATAACTTGAAAAAGACATACAATGCCAAAGCCCACGTAAAAAGCTTTATAATTTCCCCAAGTTAAAAAAATGCACTCAGTAACTATCACTTTATTCTAAACGCACACTCTAAATATTAAATTGTACTTTCGATTGTATTTTTTTCCTCTACCAGAAAACATTAAAGCTAGTTTTAAAATTAATTGAAGTAAGTTATATTCTGAAACCAATAATTAGAACTTTTTATAAAAACCAAAGCTCTTTGTAATTCCAAGCACATCAGCTTTTATTGCTTTATTCAATCCATAGTTCAGAAAAGCAAAACCATATAATTAATCAGTGCAATTTTGTTTTCCATTCTCTATGTTGCCCTTTTGTAGCTTTCAATTATAAAGAGAAAATTATGAAAATAAAATAAAACCCAAGTCACCCTAGAAAGCAATGATCTGAAAACAAAGTCAAAGGACTGAAATCGTTTTAACAAACTTTGTAAATGTTGAGAATAAAACGGGAGAAGACAACAGAATGAAATTGAAGCCCAGCCCTCTGAGATCTGGGCAGCAAATTTACCATGCTACTCCACAAGTCATTTAATATTTTCATTAAAGTGGAAAAACTTACAGGAGTTTCAATTATGTCCATTATGCTCAGGAGACCAACTTTGAAAGTAGGCCAACAAATCCTGACTAACTGATAAAATCTAAATGGTTTTTTATCTTAATTGTACATTATCAAAGCCAGACAGAAATACTTAAAGAAATTTAAACTGATTGAGTTCTATTTCACTGAGTTTCCACCAGTTCATATTCTTATACCCACTGTGAATTAATATAGAAATTCCTGTGTACAAAATAAAAAAAAGATAAAGTCAGAATCACAAGATGTGCAGAACTAACAATGAAACAGATGCATACACTGTACATGCTTCATTAAATGAGAACATCAAAATAAGTTATGAGCCTTTATGATACCTTATCAAAGGATGGTAGAAATAGTACGTATAATTTGGTGATTTACCAAATTAATGGCATTTTAAGATGGAAATTTTCTCTTTCAGATGAACAAAATTTTCTGGCCCTAATAAGAATTGGGAATTTAAAAAATTAAAAATCCTAATCCCCAAACTAACTTAGTGATACATATTCTTCTGGAAGGCAACAGCAGATGACTGTTATCTTTGTCAACTAGCATCTAACCATCTTTCATGAAACTATATTCCAATTTCCCTCTGAGGGAAAACATCCTTCCTCACATTTCATTCAATGTTTGGTGGGATTCACTTGTACTTGGTTCAGGTTTTAATGACAGAGATTGATTTCTTGGCACATATTTTTCCTATCATCACCTGACGTACACCACGAGTCTTTTGCTACAGATTCTGGAAAAGAAAGTAGTATTTTACTTTGGACTGAAATATGAGAGCACGTTGGATGTTATAACCACTGCTGCCATGTTGTTCCTGTACAAAGCTAGAGATTAAAGTCAAACACACAAAAAGTAGAGCCAAGACATGAAGAGATGCCAAACACTGAGAGTTCTCTTTCTTTCTAAATTCAGCTCCCTTTCCCCACCTTCACTGATAAGCAACTATGAGAAGGCTTTTCTTTCACTTACCAAAAAAAGAATATTTAAAAACAAAGACTCATAAATGATCAAAAATAAAAAGAGGCTCTATACCAGAATCTTTTAAAGTAATTCATTAATGTATCCATTTATTTAATATTTATTATATGTCTGGAAACAGGGCAGATGTTAAAAGCTGATTTGGAATCCATTTTTAATTATCTTATCTTTCATTTAATATTTTTTCCTTCTTAAGATATCAAGCCTTCTTAAAGTAAAGATGTATTTAACTGATATATTTTTCAGTCTACTATACCAAAACACTTTTAGCATTGAGATAGAATTCTAAGGTAGTCCATTTATAGGAAACATATAGATAAATATTGCTAATTAATCGTTTGATACACTGACAGCACAGAAAAGGTCACTTACCTAAAATGTGCCATCACATGGAAAATTCTTAAAAACACAACAACACTTAAGCCATTATCTTAATAATGAGTTAATATAGTAATTCCAGAAATGGTCAATTAAAATCCTTAAAAAAATAAAAATAGTGTCTTATGGTACAGTAAACAAGTTATTTGATAGGTAAAACATGGACTCTGGAATAGTATTTTGGTTTAACCTGTGGACACAGACAATGGGATGGTGAGGGCCACGGGTGGGGGAGGAGGGGAGCAAGCTGGAAGAGGTTAATGGGGGAAAAGGAGGACCTATGTAATACTTTCAACAATAAATATTAAAAGAAAAAAATATTCAAAGAATCTGAGAATTAAAAAAATATTGAATTTATTAAGGTGGCATTGGTTAGTACAATTATATAGGTTTTAATTCTATAATATATCATCTGTGTACTGTATTGTGTGTTCACCATCCAAAGTTGTTTCCTTCCATCACCATAAATCCAATTTCCAGCTCTTACAGTTATAATTTATATAACTTCATTGTTTCTTAAGCTTTTAAGATATAATTACCTCATTTGTAAAGTGAAGGAAATCATACAAAACTCTATGTGTGGATTCTATAAGGAATATAAAACATGTAGTACATGATCTATTACATAAAATCATTCAGTAATTAATGGTTTTAAAATTTTATCCTTGCACAGCAAAAGAAACCATCAACAGAACAACAAGAAAGCCCACTGCATGGGAGACCATATTTTCCAATGTTATCCCCAATAAGGGTTTAATTTCTAAAATTTACAGGAAACTAACGCAACTTAATGAAAGGGAGATACCTAATCCAATAAAAAATGGGCACAGGACCTCAATAGACACTTTTTGAAAGAGGACATACAGAAAACATGCTCAAAGTCACTAATCATCCGAGAGATGCAAAATAAAACGACAATGAGGTACCATCTCACACCTGTCAGAATGGCTATCATCAACAAATCAACAAACAACAAGTGCTGGCGAGGATACAGAAAAAAACGAAGCCTCTTGCACTGCTCTTGGGAATGAAGACTTGTGCAGCCAATGTGGAAAACTTTATGGAGTTTCCTCAAAAAACTAAAAATGGAACTCCCATTTGACCCAATAATCCCTCTTCTAGGCATGTATCCCAAACAATCAGAAACACCAAGCAGAAAGGATATATGCACCCCTATGTTCATAGCAGCAAGATTTACCATCGCTAAGATTTGGAAATAGCCTAAGTGCCCATCAGCAGATGAGTGTATTAGAAAACTGTGGTACATCTACACAATGGAATACTATGCTGCTTTAAAAGAGAAGGAACTCTTACCATTTGCAACAGCATGCATGGACCTGGAAAGCATCATGCTAAG